TGCATTTTTCGGAGTGCATGTTATGCAGGCTACTGTGTTTCTATTTTTTACTTTTTTTTTAAACAATTGTCATTACAAAAAAATTTCTAAACATGTTCAAAATGACGTGTAATGATGAAATGGTATCAGTTTTTATAAAAAAATTAAACCCCCAGTAAAAATTCATATCAAAACTATATGAAGGTACAATTGTACCTCTGCGCCCGGTTAGCGTTGTAAGAATATGCGCCCGGACGAGGGTTAATATTTCAACGTGAACATAGTATTAGTGTATTTCTGCCTTAAAAGAGCTTATCATAAAACCATTTGCCGTTCAGAGTCAGCGTAAAAATGTAGGTGCCTCCACATGCGTGACAACAATAGAACTCACCCCTCAAATTTGAGGAGAAGCTCGGCCGAATATTTATAAAAATATTTTAGTGCCAAAAATTTATTTGTTTACTTGTTTTAAGGGAGATGGCAATCTTCTTGTTTGAGCCGTTTCAAATTTGTAATTTTCAAAATTACTCAGTGAGACCAAGTTTAATAAAAATGTAGGGTTGCATGCCCATAAACACCAAATAAAAGTGGTGTTTAAAGAGAGTTTAACGAACATTTTTCGTATGGTAAACTCTGAGTTTGTGAGTGGTGTTTAATGATAAACTCTAACTCTAGTTTATGGCTCAATGAAACGTAATATAAAAATATAAAGATATTTACCTGACGTTTCAGAATCCAATATTGATTTATACCACACAATATTAGAATTTAAAAGCCTGTATAAATTGTTTTTGCACACAAAGAACAAGCCAAATCCAACCAATTGACCTCAGATACCAAATTCTTGCGCTAAATTCGGGCGCTGGTGATATATTAACAATGGCGTATCTCAGAGGTACTACTAATCTTCGATATAAAGGCGTTACTTTTTAACTGGGGGTAGTTCTGGAAATTCGTATCTTGGCCAGCTAGATTGTCCAAGCACCAGTATGCCCGACGTTAAGAACATAAGTCCTTTTTGTGTTGCAGGATTAGCGGGATGTGTGATGCAGTATTAAAATTTCTTCAAATTAAACTATATTATAAGCAATACAACAACGAGCTTTTATTTGTTAAGAAAACGTATTAGTAAAATAAGACTTCAAGACGACCTTTTTTAGTACAACGTCAATAATTAAGTAAAGATAAAGCAAGGCAATTTCAAATATAACTTCATCATTTACTTTTAACAGACATAAAACCCGATTAGAATTAGTAAGGATATCTGCAGCCGTGATGGGAATCGAGTTTTCGTATGCAGCGGAAACAGCGTTTGTTTCACCAACTTTATTGAAAATCGGCATTGAGCATCAACACATGACGTTGGTTTGGGCATTATCACCTTTAATTGGATTCTTTGCTTGCCCTTTCTTAGGTTCAATGAGCGATCGCTGCAAGCTAAATTTAGGTCGAAGAAGGCCATTCATAGTATTACTATCCATGGGAGTTATTTTTGGTAAGTCACGAAAATTATTTTAATAAGCTTTTAGCAAAAACAAGTAATTCTTAAGCAAGAAACAAAACCGAGTTCAATTGTCATATACAAATTTAAGATTATCGTTAGTTGCATCATGATCCAATGATCGGATTTACACCAAATTAGTACGGGACCACCTGTGTGGTAACACATTTCCATTAAAGAAAAGAATTATAGGAATCGGTTGACGTGGTTCAAAGTTATGCGGTAACATACGTAAAAAAAATATTCCAACGAATTGATAACCTTCTCCTTTTTGTGAATTCGGTTAAAAAGGAAAAAATGCCTGTTCCGTCAGGTGGGATCTCCCCGCCCCACCTGCGAGTCTCGCATAAGCAGCCGAGGGCGCTGCGCTGATTCCTAACAACGACCCTTTAAAGCTGTGACAGACGGCAAAGCCTATGCATATAATCTGGCGCACATATGCGCATAAAAATTCTACCCTTACAGACGGCAGTAATGCGGATAAACGAGCCGCAAGGTCGTGGGTTCGAGTCCCACGGCCAGTAAAATTTTCATTTATTTCGTTTTAATTTTTTTTTTATAAGTTCTATATTTTTTTACGTTGATTTCGGTTAGTTGTTGTTGACTTTTTAATAAAATTCAACTCTAAGATTATAAATTAACTAATAGTAAAATAAAAAATATGATATAAAATAAGGCAAGTGAAAATAAAATAAAGTTGATTTAAATATATAAATCACATAAAAAAAAACATAAAATAAATATTAAATACAAAAAAAAATTTCCCAGGCGCTTTAACCAAAGATCGAACCAGGCTACAGGCTTGTAGCCCGCAACTCTCACCACTCGGCTACCGCGGACGCGAAACTCGCCTGCTTTATTTGCTTACTTGTACAAGTTCCAGTGTTGTCATCAAAAATTCCCCGGATCCGAGTTAATTCCCAAAAATTTCGTGCATTTGTTTGGCTGCTTATGCGCATTTTAAAGAAAATGTATGAGTCAAAGCAAATAAAGGCTCAGTGTTGCCAACTTTTCAGTTTCAAAAAGCACCAAATCTTGGAAGAGAAAGAGCGTTTTACCGCACTAAAAGCACTAAATTTTTTTTTAAATCAAAGGATACTCTTTTTCATAACAGTTTGTGGTAAACAAAAGTAAAAAAATATACAATATTTACATGTATAAATAAATACACATTCATGCTTGCCAAGTAATACCGAAGTACTGCACATTAAAACTGGTACATCTGGAGAAGGAACAATCGAATCCCAACAAACGAAATTGAATTTTAAAGGGGAAGAGTAATACTTAATGATACCCTAAGTAGAAATGAGCGAAAAAATTTGTTATTTATAATATAACTACGGTGACCATAAATATGGATTCAAAATGAAGGACAATTTTTCAAAAATATGCCTACATATATTTACGTAGTATAAAAATGTCAAAAGAGTATTTATGATTCTAAATTCTTAATACATTTTAAACTTTAAAAATTAGTCACGTTTTCTTCATTGATATTAATCTTTTTTTACATGAATATTTATAAAAGTATAGTAAAACATATTATAATTACAATAGCTTACACGAAAAGTGAAAATATTTAAAAGATTATTTTATAGGCAAATTTTAAGTCGTTCAAAACGAAAACAATACCCTCCCTTTTTTGTTTTTTTTAGTACTTTTCGCAGTTATTTGTCAAAAATCGACGTCATGAATCGACGAGTTACAAAGTGCCCTTTACAAAAAAAATAACTTGTGCAGATTGCGCTCCATAGCATTTACATTTCTGATCCGATTTTCATTATCTTTGGCTCAAAGTTTACAAATTTTTTAAATAATGAAAAAAAAAATCAAATGAATCTGCGTATTTGATTGAAAATCTCACTTTTTTCGCCTGTAGCACTAAGAATTTTCATTGAAGTCGCCACAAGTTATATATTTTGGTAAAAGGCACATCAATACCCTTCGAGCTGTAAGTCGCTTATGTTAATTTGGAGATTTTTTCATGAGATATTGAAGAAAAGCTAAGAAAAGTAACAAAAAACACTTTTTTGAAAAAATCCATCCATTGTCCGATAATTTTAAAATAACGAATAAAATGCGGGACAAATGCAGGACGCTTGAAAAAAATCAGTACATTTTCAGATTTTTCAGGTTTGAAAAACTACGCAGGACCGACCTTTGAAAAACAGTACGGTCCTGCAAAAAACAGAACGGATGGTCACCGTAAATATAACCTCAAATATTGCGAAAAACCGTGTTTTTACTCTTAGAGGGCAGAATATCTTAAAATTCTGACATGGTATAGAAATTCTGCAGCTAGATTGGTATTCAGCACCGAAGAATCTACAAAAACCGATGCACTCAGGTGGCAAAAAAAGTTAAAATTTTTCCAACTGTGTAATCAATCAATAATCAAGAAAATAAAAAAATAAATACTTAACTTATCTGCGTGCTAGCATTTTCAACGCGCATACAATTTAACAAGAACGCAAGAACGTGGATTTGCAACTTCATCTTTTTATCAATCATGGTTTGCATTTTAGTGCATTTAAATTTTTAGATTCTTGTAAATTCAGAAATTTTAGTTCAGAAAAAAGCACTAAAAAGGCCACTAGGCACTAAACCATTTTTTTTTTTGCGTTTTAATTTTCAGAAAGCACTAAATCTAGTGCTTAAAGCACTAAGTTGGCAACTATGTAAAGGCTGTTAATGAGTAGTATATTTATGCAGCGCTGCTTGCACTGGTCCAGAACCGGCATATGGTTTGCTGCTTACACCGGTCCAGAACCGCTATACGGTTTGCTGGTGCTCTGCCGCAAGCTTTGCTGCTCCGCCAAAAGATGCCGCTGAGCGAAATCCAAGTTTAGAACCCAGATAAAAGCCGCAAGATGTCGCTGATGACAAATCCGAGTCACAGGGTGTACCGCTGATGGAAATCCGAGAAATCCGATACCATTCAGAACCGGAATCGATCACAGGGTGTACCGCTGATGGAAATCTGAGAAATCCGATACCATTCAGATCCGGAATCGATCACAGGGTGTACCGCTGATGGAAATCTGAGAAATCCGATACCATTCAGAACCGGAATCGATCACAGGGTGTACCGCTGATGGAAATCTGAGAAATCCGATACCAGGTGGTTTATATGTCGAAAATTAGTAAAGTGTGTTGGTATGCAGTCAGAAATATATACAAACGTACATACGGACATATATATATACATATATAAATGCTCCACCCCTAGAAAGGTGTGTTAATAATGTGCACATAGTTGATTGCTAAGTATTTAATATGTATGTGTATATGAATGGAAAGGCCTGTTGATGTTGATGATGAGAACAAATTAAATTTAATTTGAAATAAAAGAAAGTTTTATAATTACTTATTTATTTTGATAATAAGAATTTTAAGCATAAATGTTCACAATTATATGAATTATAGCTTTGCTGTTGATTATAGTTATAGTTAATGTTTTTTCCTAAATACTTTATTATTTGCTTAGGAGGCTGTAAGTTTCCAAAGCTATCGAAGTAATCAATCTCATTATCGTTTTCCCAGTAAGCTACCCAATGCGTTCCCGGACCCTTTGAACTATCCAAATTTATTATTCCACATTCTCTCTTAAATGGTTTACGTGGTAACTTGTCACACATAAATACCCCTCTAAAATTTGAAATAAATTTTGAATACTTCTTTAAGTCTACATCAGTAAGAGGTCTTCTGGGTAGCTTCATTAAGAGTTTTTTTGGTATGGTTTTAAATATAATCCGAATCCCTTTTTATAAGGCTTTAAAAACATTCCTTTTGCCATTGAAATAGCTTCCATTATATTATTATGACGTTTCGCCTCCAATAACTGCTCCTTTCCGGTTTTTATAGCATTGATTGTTTTAATAATTCCTGCTGTACCGCCAGATAGACTTCCAAGTGCTCCTAATGCTACGAATAAAGGCGCTAATGGGAGAAATCCTCCAGATTTAGGTAATGATATTACACGTGGTGTTTTTATTTTAGATTTTTTTCCTCTAAAAATATTATTTACAACCTTTCGTGAAATTTTTACTGCATCTTTTAAGTTATCACTTTTCTTTAAATTTTGTTTGGCTTTTTTTAAAGCATGTTTGAAGAGCTGATAACCAGTTTTTCCTCCCGTTTTCTTAGTTTTACTATAAATGTTCCCCATACCGAATTTCGTTTTTGTCTTCATTATATTTGTAACTAACCAAGCATTTGTTTTCTCATTAAGATTGCTATCCTTCGGTTTAACTCTTTCCCAAGCCTTCTCAATTAATTTTTTATCAGCAATATGTCGGTTATCTAAATCTTTATTATATAAATATGATATATCATGTTCTCTACAAGCAGTGTCTAGTAGATTAATCCCTCGATCTCCTCTTACTAAAAGTTTCCGTTGTTTCGTTCCAGGTTCACAAAATTGATAACTAAGCAAATGAAGTTCAATAGGAAGCTTATTAATTATATTATTTATAAAACCTTTTCCAACGACTAACGATTTAAGGGTAAGCCTATTTTCATAAATAACTCTCATATAAAATAATATTATATTCAAATAAACGCCGAAGTTTTTTTTTAATAAATCTATGGTTCTATATAATTAAATTTTAAATTTCTAAATACTAATTCAACAGTTAATTTATATTCAAACACAATATTGTTATATGATTTAGAATAAACTTCTACATCATACATCGCTTCCCTAGTTGTTCTACTATAATACTTTAATTTAGTCTTAATATCTAAACCCCTTCAATTTCACCGCCACAAACGGTTAGGAATTTTCCATTGTCATCCGCTTCATCCCATTTTTTGTTAAAAAAAGCATGGACTGCTCTGACTGGGATGCCCAAAACTTGTAACCGGGGACCCTCATCTTCAATACATATATAAGGGGTTTTCATGTCTTCAAAGCACAACATCTCCAATTCGAAATCGAAGTTGTACTCTCCATAAGGCTCGCTATTGAGGATTCGATTGATTCCAGGCATGATGTGTTTTATAAGTACAGTATTAG